CAACCCCTCCAAAAAAAACCAACACCAAGATTATTGTCTAATAGGTTATGGTGGTACACAGCTATAATCTCGGCACTCAGGATGCTGAGACAGGAGGATTGTCGAGTTTGGGTCAGTCTAGGCTATAGAGTGAGCTCAAGGTCAGCCTGGACTATACATTAAGAACCTATCTTAATAGCTTCTTCTGTCTACATTCTATGCCTCCCAAATAAAATTGTCTTTCTATATTGGACATTTTCCATCTAAAATTTTCAACTTCAATTTATCTTACTTGGTTTGTACTTTCTTGATACTTAAAAAGATATTATTTACTTTTATTTCTTTCTAGTTTGTGCTCATCTAGTTTTCAGCCTCAAGTCTAAGTTTTTAATCTCTGTTAATCGTTAAGTATGTTTGTAAAGCTTCTAGAAAAATTATCTCTCATATGTTAGCATATGTCACAAAACAAAAGACTATACATACATGAGCTGGAGAGATGGCTCAGCTTAAGAGCATGTACTGCTCTTCCAAAGGACCTGAGTTCAATTTCTACCCAGCATCTATATATCAAGTAGCTCGCAACCACCTATAACTCCAGCTCCAGGTGGCTCTGACATCTCTTGGGGCACCTGCACTTATGTACATGCACACACACACACACACACACACATACACACACACACAGAAGTAAAAATAATTAAAATTTGTTCGTTTGTTTTTTGAGACAGTTTCTCTGTATAGTTTTGGTGCTTGTCGTGGATCTCACACTGTAGCTCAGGCTGGCCTCGAACTCACAGAGATCCACCTGGCTCTGCCTCCCTAGTGCTGGGATTAAAGATGTGCGCCACTGCCTGGCTGCAATTATAATTTTAAAAATGTCCATGTACTTTTCCAGAGAAACAACAGAATAAGTAACAGCATAGCAGGACTACTTCACAATAAGGGAAATTTTAAATAGGTATAATTGTAGCATATTTATAAAATAAATGGGCATTTTCCATACAAAACTGCATTGCTACATTTTTAACTTTGTAAGTTAAAGTACATATCTTCTAATTTTTCTTCCTGTACTGAAGAAACACAGGGCTTCACACTAGCGTTAGTACTTTTGAGATAGGGTTTTACTGAGTTGATGAAGCTGTTCTGGCTCATAGTCCTCTGACCTCAGTCTCTCAAGTAGCTGGTCTCTGTCATCAATTGTGGCTTTTTTTTTCCCTCTTAATACAAGCCCTTGGCTGCCACAGACACATTTGGGCAATGTTGAAGTATATAAGGCAGAAAGCTCAAGTTGGCCCCTAAAACCCACCTCTAAGACTTAGATTCTGGTATATTAGTTACACCAGGTTTTATATCCTTTATTGTTTAGTATATAAATGTAATATGTCTATGCTTACATTGTGTGGTTTAACTTTGTACCTTTTGTATAGCACAGTATTCGCATCGTTTTGCTATTACAGCGTTACCCTAGTACTTCCATATTTACACTCCTTTGCATGCTCTTCATATTGTATATTAAGAGTGTTTGTAAGAAAAATTGCTGAGTCACGCTTGCCATATTTTGCCAATTTCTTCCCTTGAGTGTATGAGTACTCATTATTACCTTCTTAATAATCTTTGGCCTTCAGTTTTCTGGTTGTGAGCCTACCCTTTAACGTCTGAGCCATCTCTCCAGCCCTAATCTTCAGTTTTCTGAATCTTTGCCAATGCAATGGTGTAACTGTGTTAGTAGCAGTCCAATTATTTACTTTTTAAATGACTTTGTTTCTTTGTTTAATTATGTGTTTGTGCCATACCCACAGTGGCCAGAGGCCTGAAGCTGGACTTACAGGCTGTGAGCCATATGTAGGTGCTAGGAACTGAACCCAGGTCCTCTGCAGGAGCAGCCAATGCTCTAACCACTTAGCAGTCTCTCCAGCCCCTATTTACTTGCTTATTTGTTTTGAAGCCTGAGAACAGTTCTATTAGTTTAAAAGAAAACCCCAAGCAGGCAAGCTGTAATCTCCAGCTGCCTGTAGGAGTGAGAGAGAAAAGAGAGCGAGCCATGATGTTTGAGGTAGGCATGGAGGTCAGCCCCATGGCAGACAAGCATCGAGGTGGTGGGGAGTAGTTCAGTCTTATCACAACATGGATGAAAACCAAGCAAGCACTGGTCTCCCAGCTCTTACTGATTTTAAAGGAACAAGCCTACTTAAGAAATAACTTGAAGCTCGGCACGGTGGCGTTTGCCTATAATCCCAGAACTCTGGATCCTAAGACGTGGGTTGTCATTAGTTAGAGGCCAAGCCTGAGCTTTTGTGTGAGACCCTGTCTCAAAAAATTAAAAAACAAAAGAAAATTAAAAACCCAAATAGCCTAAAACAAGCAACAAAAAACAAAAGAGGGAAATGAGTTATACTATTATATAGACAGGATCTCAGTGTATAGTCCATGCTGTCCTTGAATTTGTGCTGTCTCTGCTCTCCAAGCGCTGATTTAAATGTGTGCACCACTATGCTTGGTTCTTTTCATTTTTACAGAGATTTAATACACATCAATATTTATATATAAACTCTATAACATTGTTGATACATTGTTTTTGCTTTGAAACTGTATCTATTTCTTATAGTGATGATTTACATTTTAGGAATAAAAGTGGGAGAGACTACCCCTGACAAGATGTTCACACTCATAGAAGTGGAGTGTTTAGGGGCCTGTGTAAATGCACCAATGGTTCAAATCAATGACAACTACTATGTGAGTATTCAACTTCACACATGCTAACGTTCTATAGTACCTTTGTATAAGTATCTAGAAGGTTTTAAAAGAATTATCTTTAAACATTTTGCATTTTTCTCCAGAATATGATAAATTTGATGAATCTAATCGTTTACATATAGTAGAACCAAAATGTAATAGCAACATATTAGGGCATTTACTTAGATAATATTGTCTATTGATATTATTTGCAAAAAAAATTATACATAAAAGTATAGGAGACTGGAGTTACCTTCTTTTTCTCTGCAGATATTTACTACCATAAATTTAGTGTGGATTCTTCTTATAAATGTTTTAAAGCCTTTTCTGTACTGTCTATATCTGTAGTAATTTACATTTTTAATTAATTTACATTTTTAAATTACATTTTTTAAATAGATGAAATGTGTAACATACCTCTATTCCTTTTTTAAGAATTTATTTTTTTATTTTATGTGCATCAGTGTTTTGCCATGGATGTCAGGTTCCCTGGAACTGAAGTTACAGACTGTTGTGAGCTGCCATGTAGGTGCTGGGAATTGAACCCAGGTCCTCTGGAAGAGCAATTAGTGCTCTTAACCACTGAGTCATCTCTCCTGCCCACCTCTACTACTTCATACCTTATAAATTTTGTGTTTATCCCTTTATCTCTGACCTGTAAGTTTTCTGGAGGTGTTCTTAATATCCAAATATGTTTAGCTTTCTAGTTTGCATTTTTAAATTACTTGCTGCCTAATTATATCATGGTTTACGACTATGGTATTTTGTTAGTTTATATTTCTTTTTTTGTTTGTTTCTTTTGTTTTTCCAGGCAGGGTTTCTCTATGTAGCCCTGGCTGTTCTGGATCTCTCTGTGTAGACCAGGCTAGTCTCAAGTCAGGTCCACCTGCCTCTGCCTCCTGAGTGCTGGGATTAAAGGCATGCATCACCACCTCCCAGCTTATTTCTTATAAATTAGTTCATAGAGATTCTTTGAGGTCTTAGTTGAGATAGCATTTTCAAGAGTGGATTTACCTTACTTCTCTCCTGCTCATAGAGGTACTAATGGTACCTCCAAAGCTGATCTCTTTACACCTTTTATTTACTTCATTCTGCAATGCCAAAGTTTCCAGACTAGAAATTTTCTTTGCAGGACAGATTACTTTCTAGTTTATCCTTGTATCAAATGTACAGCCTTTTTTGGATCTTAACTTTGTGTGCTTAGGTTTGTGGTTATGAAGACCTTTTTAGTGCTGGTCTGGGGTCTTGTCCCTTGCTCTTCTGGGTATTGAAAACTTGGAGACAAGTTTGTTTGGTGTTTTCTTGCAGAATTTTTGTTAAGTTTGGCCTCGGTTACATATTCCTCAGACAGGAATTAGACAGGGCTTGGTATGAAGCATAAATCTTGATAGAGTAGCCTATAGGCAGAGGTATCTAAGTGAGAGTCTCTTCAGTTAGTAGTTAGAGCTTTTGATTCAGGTCTCTGCTTATGGGTTACAACTCTTGATGATAATTATTCTTTGTACTACAATGTTTCTTTCAGGATTAGCAGTTGTTCTCTTGTACTTTGGCACTTTTCTAGTTTGGTTTTTTATTGTCTTAGTCACTCTTCTTATTGCTGTGAAGAGACATCATGACCAAGGCAATTCTTATAAAGAAGAAAGCATTTAATTGGGACCTTGCTTATGGTTTCAGAAATTTAGTCCATGATCATCCTGACAGAAAGCATGGCAGCAGGTGGTGCTGGAGAAGTAGTTGAGAGCTACATCCTGATCTGCAAGCAGTGAGAGACACTGGGCTTGGCATGAGCTTTTGAAACCGAAAAGCCCACCCCCAGTGACACACTTCCTTCAGCAAGGCCACACCTCCTAATCACTAAGCATTCCACTAGGTGGGGGAGGGGTGCTATTCTTATTCAAACCACCACTTAAGAAATCCACAAAAATGAGTTCAAGTATCAGTAGAGGAACTTGAGAGAGGCAGAGGGTGGTGAGTGGTGAGGCCGGAACTCAAATGCAGAGGTTTCACTTGAAATAAACCTAGTTGTGACTCTTCGCTAAAGCTCTTGGTGTGTATTGCATTATATATTGAAGTTATTCAGTTCTAGCTGTCTTGGAAAATAAATAAATTAATTTTAAGGTTTTATAGACTTTTTTACAGCAGTAATTCATTAGTGGCTTCAATTTTTCTCTAGGAGGATCTAACACCCAAGGATATTGAAGTGATTATTGATGAACTCAGAGCTGGGAAAGTTCCAAAGCCTGGGCCGAGGTACAATCCTACTTTTATAATAAACTTTGATGGCATAGCTTACACTGGAGTCATCAGAAGCTCAATTTTACACTCATGTGCATAGGAGCTGACTGGAAGTAGTTTGCCTGTCTAAACCTTTCATCTGAGCAAGATACACTTTTTCTTTTCTCTGTCTCTGTCTCTGTCTCTGTCTCTGTCTCTTTTTTTCTTTTGGTTTTTTGAGACAGGGTTTCTCTGTGTAGTTTTGGTGCCTGTCCTGAATCTTGCTCTGTAGACAAGGCTGGTCTCGAATTCACAGAGATCTGCCTGGCTCTGCCTCCCGAGTGCTGGGATTAAAGGCATGCGCCACCACCGCCCGGCTAATACACTTTTCCTTAAAAAAATCTATAAGATAAGGCTGGGGAGATTGTTCATTGCTGGTAAAGTTCTTTCCATGTAAGCGTAATCATGGGAGTTAGATTCCTAGAACACATATAAAAGCTGAGTGGACATGGTGGCTAGGCTGTAATTCCACTGTTGGGAAGAGGAGCCAGGGACTCTCCTGAGCAAGGTGGCTAGCCAGCTTGGCTACCACAGCAAGTTGACAGTTCAGCAGAGACATTGGCTCCAGGTAGAGAGTAATAGAGGTAGACACCTAAGATTGACCTTGGGCCTTCAGGTGCACATACGTACATGTGCAAACATGCTTGCATACATTTCATACACCTGTACAAAAGTCCCAGGCTTTGAACTTGGGTTGCCCGCCATTTGCAGCAATCACTTTTTCCTGCTGAGCCATGCCATCGACCCCACTACAAGATAATCTTTATTATTGTTTTTGTTTTTTTTTCCCTTAGTGCGGAATTGTTTAAATACCTCTTCCAAAAAATAATTACTTTTCTTGAAATAGCATTCTTGTATTCTTCCTGTCTTTTTTGTCATATTGAATATCATGGAATCTTTGGTTCTCCTTATATGACATAGTTTGGTCTCTCAAACTAATTAGTCATATGCCACATAATGACATTTAATCAGCAATAGACCTCAGATAGTACCATAAGATTACAATAAAGCTGAAAAATTCCTTTTATTTTTATATTGAGAGCAGGTTTTACTATGTAGCCCTGCCTGGCTTGGAACTCACTATATAGACCAGGTTAGCCTGAAACTCAGAGCTCTGCCTGCCTCTGCCTCAGAGCTCTGGGATTAAAGGTGTGTGCTAGCATACTTAGCCAGTTTTCTTTTTTCTTTTCTTTTTTTTTAAGGAAAAATTTGTAAATGTTAATCACTAATAACATTACTTGCTTTTCTTTTCAGGAGCGGGCGCTTCTGTTGTGAGCCAGCTGGAGGCCTCACCTCTCTGACTGAACCACCCAAAGGACCTGGCTTTGGTGTGCAAGCAGGCCTTTAACTTATACTCATCTGTAAACAATGTCACTGGAGAAATAAACTATGGACCTGTTTACACAGGCTTTAGACTATTGGTTTATTCCCATCTGTACGTCTTGGTAGTAATCTAGCAACTTGTAGCTGTTACATATTATGTCAAAACAACAGAAACACCATGTTAGCCTACCTGTGAGGACTGTTGTTATTATGACTTAATCAAGTTACTCTAGGGTCACCCATTTTAAACTGCCTGGTCATATCTATCAGAATTGGGTTATTGTGAAGTCAAAGTTCTGCAAAACTTCAAATATATTTTTCTTTCCCATCTCTGGACACAGCCAAATTTTATGTTGCCATTTTTTTTTTATAAGCCTTATGTCAGTATTTCCTTTAAACTTTTTTTTTTTTTTTTCTGAGACAGGGTTTCTCTGTGTAGTTTTGGTGTCTGTCCTGATCTCACTTTGTAGACCAGACTCCTTTAAACATTTTAATATTAGTTGTTACCGTGTTTCTAACTGGTAAGGTCCCACTACTGGTAATAGGAGTAAGAGAGTTTTCTCTAAAAGCATTTGATTTATGTTTATCTGTGTTCGTTGAGGCAGGGTCCCATTCTGTTACCCTGGTTGTATGTAGCCCACTGCCGCCCGAGTTTATGATTACAGTAAAAGCATTGCTGGTAAGAAGGAAAGTTAAAACAATTTGATGTGAATCTTTGACTATAATCTTTTCTTTAGTTAGTTAGATGCAGGATCTCACTGTGTAGACCAGGCTGGCTTGGAACTCAGAGACCTGCCTCGTCCCTGTCTCCTGAGTGCTGCTGGCACCAAAGGTGTGCACCTGCCACCACACCTGGCCTTTAACTGTATATTTTCTGTTGTTGTTGTTTTGAGGCAGGGTTTCACCATCTCTGGCTATATTTTTAACACTGAAAGCATACAAGAATTAATGGAGTTGGTTAGTATGACGCATTTTGAAGATGGGTGAATGTGGACAGCATATTTGTATGAATAAAACTATTACATTCAGTTCAAAAAGGAGGTAATATACAATATGTTTGAAAACTCAGAAAGAAATGCTTTAATTAATGGAATAATCAGATTGCTTCAGGATTTATCAGTAATAGGCACTGAGTAATAGGCACTCAGGAGGCAGAGGCAGGTTGCATCTGAGTTTGAGGTCAGCCTGGTCTATATCGCCAAGTCCACGTTAGACAGCTACTTAGTGAGACTGTC